TCTCTCTCTCTCTCTCTCTCTCTCTCTCTCTCTCTCTCTCTCTCTCTGTAAATACTTCACTCAGTGCTTCAGTCACACTAAAAAGCATCATGTGTGTTTCTGGGCTAAGCTGTCAAACACAGGCCGCCTAGGCCCCCAGGACCATGTCCCCGCAAGCCCTTGTCTGCACCCAGGCCCCACCTTGTGAGAGTTAGAGGGTTAGAAGAGCCTGCTGCTTTACCTCTGCAATCCTGCTCCTGTGACTACTCACAAGGTGGCTGGTGTGGAGGAACCTGGGCCCCAGGCACCCAAAAAGCCTGAGTGCAGACGTGGTTAGGCGTGTTCCACAACCCCTGGATGTGAAGCACCTGCCACCATTAGAGCAACCTCAGCACTGTCCCCTGAGTCCCTGGGACTGGCTGACCCTGTGAGAATGAGCTCAGTGCTCACGCTCTCTGTCCAGTATGTATCCAAATGGTACCTTGGCTTCTGAGTCTGAATTCGCTGGTTTAGAACTTTTGTTTTTAATTGGTAAAGCTGGGAATTCAAAAATCTAACATCTTCAGTTTGGTCCCCCTCTCCCATTTTCTCTTAACGTCCTTCGGGGAGGGGCGTTTGGGATCCCTGATAATACCTTAGCTTGATTCCTGGGCTGGGAAAAGGTGGTGGGGGCGGGAAGGGGTGACCCAAGCTGTTTCCAGGTCTCTCCTTGGATTCTGCTGTGTTCTTGGGGGGGCGGGCAGAGCTGTATACGTGTGAGGGAGGGGCTAAAGCCGATAGTGAGGTGGTTCTTTTTCTTAACTGAATGATAATTCTGTAAAAGTAACTGGGGGGAGGGTGTTCAGGGAGTATGTGTGTGTGTGTGTGCGTGTGAGAGCATGTGTGATTTTGTTTTGTTTCGTTTTTTACAGTGGCTGTCAAGTATTTTCATGATATGTTTAACACATAGTGCTTTAAAAGCAGTGGTACCCAATACATGGGAATCCGAGTTCCAGAGATGGGCGTGCCCCACCTCAGTGAGCAAAGGTCCCACTCTGGAGGGGTAAGAAAGGCCTGCGGACCCCACACCAAGCAGCAACACCTGGGCGTTCATTTCAAACGGGATACAGTATTTTTTTATAACAGAACCATCCTTTTTTTAAAAAAAAAAAGTTTTGACACCTGAATGTGATTTCTAACTATTATTAGACATTAATGTTTTAAAGGTATAACAAAGTAGACATTTCTACTTTCTTTCTCATTCATTTGAACTGTTCTTTTATCTATTCGGTTGTTGTATGTGGGCGGGGAAGCTCTGTTTTCTCCTCTTAGCATCTGTTTCTATAACCAGAAATAAAAATTATATATTAAAGAGATGTACCCAAGGGCATGAGTGGTCCCTGGGGGTGACTGACTGTGGAGGGCAGACAGACCAACCAAGGGCCCGGACACACACTCCTGGGCATGAGAGACCTGACCCCCAGGTGTTTCCAACATGGGAGGCAAATGACCGGGGATTCTTGTTTCCTTCCGTGCCTCCCAGGTGCCCAGTCCAAGAAGACGTAAGGTCAAGAAGAGTCCTGCAGGTGTCAGTGATCTGAAGACTGTTGGGTCCTCTGTCAGTCACCTGAGCTCCGAGCATACAGAGATGGTATACAGATGGCAAGAGCTAGCCCATCTCTCCCTGATGTTTGACACAGGTCCACCACCAGGCCAGGGTGTGTCTGCAGGTGCCTGTGTGTCCTAGTTACTTGCTGGTTGGTTTGAAGAGACACCATGGGTAAGGAAGTGGGGGGCGGCATTTAATTTGCAGCTCACCGTTCCAGAAGGTTAGAGTCTGTCATCACGGCAGGGAGCATGGCAGCAGACAGGCAGGCATGGGGTTGGAGCAGTAGCTGAGATTTTACATAACTGAGGCAGCAGCTACTGGACAGAGTGAGCTAACTGGAAATGCTTTGGGCACTTGACCGCAGGCCACACCTCCTAACCTTTCCCAAACAGTTCCACCACTGGGGTCAAAGCATTGAGTATATGAGCCCATGGGACCCGCTGTCATTCAAACCACCACCCCATGGCTGCCTCAGTGGCCCTGGGAGACACCCTGACACTCAGCCGGTGAGAAGCAACCCACTTCTCCCTTTTTCTGTGTACATGTTCTTTTTTTTTTTTTTTTTTTTTGGAGACAGGGTTTCTCTGTGTAGCTCCGGCTGTCCTGGAACTCACTATGTAGACCAGGCTGGCCTCGAACTCAGAAATCCGCCTGCCTCTGCCTCCCAAGTGCTGGGATTTGTGTACATGTTCTTGGGTGTGACTGCACATGTGTGTGCACCTGTGGGTACATTTGTATGGAGGCTGAGGACAACCTCAGCTGCTGTTCCTCAGGTGGCTCGTGTGCATGCGTGTGTGTGTGTGTGTGTGTGTGTGTTCACATGTAGAGGCATGGCATGCACTGGCCACAGGACACATGAGCATATCCCAGGACAACCTTCGGGTGCCCACCCTCACCATTACTTACACCATGTTTTCGACAGAATCTCTTTACCATTACATAAGCCAGGCTAGCTCCTCCTCTGGTCTCAGGAGAGTCCCCTGTCTCCTCCGTCTCCGCAGGTGCGCTGGGATTACAAATCCTTACACTATGTGGGTTGTGGTGACCCAAACTCAGCCTGCCAGGCCTGTGTGTGTGTCAATCACTTTCATGTAGTCAGTCATCTTTCTTGCCCTACCTCGCAAAGTAAGCTAGGGTGGCTGGCCGGCCAGCAAACCCCAGGGATACTCGGATCTCCACTTTCCCAGTGCTGGGATTACAAGTGTGGGCTTTATTTTCACACGACCTCCCAGGGATGGAACTCAGGTGCTCGCTTTACTAACTGAGCCATCTCCACTTCTGCCCGTTTCCTCTCTGAAGCCTCGCTTACGCTAGGTCATGGGCACTAGGTATTGACAAGAGCCAGAAAGACGCGGACCCAAGTGTCTCTGCCACCGTGACACTCCTCAGTCTACTATCAGTTTCCTTTTTCTGTGTGTGAGTAGGCACCCTCCCTCCAACCCAAATAGGTGAATGGTGCCAAGGCCTCATCTCAAAACCCAAGGCTAAGCAAGACACCCTGTATTTTTGCAGTAGAGTGCCTGAATTTATAAAAACGTGTCTGCCACACAGCTTTTGCTAAGGATGTTGTCTACCACCAAGTCAGGCCCCCAGCCCCTCACTGGGGTAAATCTAGGCTAGTGCTAAACTATGTGCCTAGCCTCTCCATGCCTAGAGTCTACCGTTCCGGGATCAAAGGAAACTGTTCCGGGGCCAGGAGCTCTGGGCTCCAAGGACCACGGTTCCAGGGCTCCCTGGCTGCTGGCTGACGTGGATAGCTGCCTCGGAGCTGGCTGGGAATCGGCTTCTATACTGCAACACTTTGGCCAAGGCCCCCGCCCCGCCCACCTGCCGCGGGACCGGAAGCTGGTCAGTCCTTTGCGGGGTTCCCCCCTCTACCCCCGCGTGGTGTGGCACCGGAAGCCGGCCACTAGCGCTTCAGATTCTCCCACGTGACGCAGCCAGGATGTGGGAGGGAGGTGCTAGGGGTAGGAGGTGGGGCGAAGCCGGACAGCCCGGTCACATGATGTGTCATGTGACGCGATCCCGGAAGTCCACGGCAAGGCTACGGGCGCCGGTGGGCTTGGAGCTGTGGCGGCATGTTCTCGGCGGGCGCAGAAAGTCTGCTGCACCAGGCCAGGTCTGCCGATCTGGGGCCGGGGCCACGGGTATAAGCCGAAGCCGGGGAGGAGCGGGGAGGCGGTGGTCCCGCTGCGGGGCTCGGGTCCCCGTGTGGCGCCGGGTCCCGGGCTCGGGGCGGCCTGCGTGGAGTGTGGGGCTCACAATCCAGCTAAGGAATCCTCCCCATCGTGTCTGGGGCCATGCTAGTGCTGGCCCTGCACTGAGCGTCTAGGTCGCGCCTTCCTTCCCAACTAGCCAGTCCAAGACTTGATGGTACGTGATTCAACGAAGGAAACGACTACCAGAAGCCCAGACCTGATGCATTTCGTAAACTTAAAAAGCAAACGGACACATCTGGATTCTGAGCTGGGCCACTCGTGGGGAAAGAGTAGAATGGATAAAGTCTCTGGCATCTTCCGGAACTAGAGCCCGAAAGAGTTAAAAGACTGGAGTCTGCGAACAAGACAGAACTCCGAAGATATAAGTAAATACGCATGCCACCGAGCCTGATTCCCTCGAGGTCCCTCCCCCTGGGGACCTCGGGGAGAAATGAGAAAATCAACTCCCGAAAGTTGTCTTCGGCTCTCCACTCAAGCACCCCAACATGTACATAAAAAAATGTAACAAATTGAAGAAGGAGAAGAAGAAAAGACAGATCTCTTAAGATATATTAGGAAAATGGTTGGTGACCCAGCCACACTCTGCCCAAGGACCCACGGCCTTCCTTGTCCTCTGTAGCGAGTGGATACTTTCCATTTTAAAGCAGTGTATTACATGGGGACTTTCTCGTGCCAAACACTCAGTCCCAGAGTATTTGATTTAGGCCAGTGACATACTGTATCAGGCTTACCTTACACTCTGCTGTAATCTTCCCTCTTCAGTACAGAAGGGTCACACTGCCCTTCTCACAGGCTCACTGAAGCAAGCTTAAAAGGCAGCTTTCAGCCAGGCAGTGGTGGCACACACCTTTAATCCCAGCACTTGGGAGGCAGAGGCAGGCAGATTTCTGAGTTCGAGGCCAGCCTGGTCTACAGAGTGAGTTCCAGGACAGCCTGGGCTATACAAAGAAACCCTGTCTCGAAAAACAAAAAAATGAAAAAAAGGCAGCTTTTAGTAGGTGTGAGTGCAGGAGCTCAGAGTACTTCCTTATTATGTGTAAGGCCCTGGGGGGAGGGGGATCCCTGCAGAGTTGGGCACATAATACACCTTGGGAAGATAAGGAAGGGGGCTAAAGAGTTTGAATCTGGGCTATGTAGTAAGTTCAAGGCTAGCCAACCTGGGCTACATAGCAAGATTCTCTAAGGGAGGGAGAGAGACAACATGATCTAAATATTCTTGACTTTTGAAAGACTCATAAAACCTTTTACTGGCACGTGGAAGTTGAGGCAGGAGGATTGCTGCAAGCTCCAGGCGAGCCTGAGCTACTGAGTGAGCCCCTGTCTCAAAGAGAAAAAAACCACCTTGAAACAGTGTTTTCTTTTTGCCATTGAAGCAACAGAACAAAGCTATATGCCTCACCATTAGGGGGTATCACTAGGAAACTGGGGGTGCTGCATCTCAGTTCCAGGGAAGGAACCTGTCTGTACCCCAGTTCCTATAGATTCACCCCGGGCACTGTGAGCCTGGGTGACTACTCCCTGCCTTCTCTGTGCTGCTTAGGGACAGTCCCCCGCTGGGGATGTGGCTTAGCAGCACTGTGGTCTCTTCCTTCCCTAGGGAGATCCAGAATGAGGAGTTACAGCGTTTCTGTTCCCGGGTCACTAAGCTGCTGCAGGAAGCTCCAGGGCCAGCCACCGTGGATGCCCTGCAGAGACTCTTTCTCATCGTCTCAGCCACCAAGTACCCCCGGCGGTGAGTGTGGATCCCTGTGCATCCACCAGACAGGTCCCAGCCAGTTTTCCTGGGACACCAGTGTAATTGACATGGGTCTCACCTTGCAGGCTGGAGAAGACATGTGTGGACCTGTTGCAGACCACTCTCTGTTTGCCCACCAGCCCTGAGCAGCTCCATGTCCTCTGTGCTGCTATCTTGAGAGAGATGTCACCTTTTAATGACCTGGCCCTGTCCTGTGATCACACCCAAAACACCCGGCAGCTCAGCCTTGTGGCCTCTGTGCTCTTGGCCCAGGTAATGCAATTGCCACCATTGGGAGTGGGGTAGGGAGTGAGTGGCATCTGTTTCTGGTGGTTTTGGGGGTCTCAGGAGCACAGCAAGCTGGTTTGTGTCCCTCCGTGTACCCATGTGCTACAGGGACCCAGTCAGCTCGGTGCCCATTCCCTTGGGTTGTCTAATGACTATCTCAAGTGTGCATAGCCCCCTGCCCTCTCCTGTCTCGTACACACACACACACCAGGTCTCTGTTGATAGCTAACTCTGACTTCAGAGCCTGGGCTGCCCGTGTGATACTGCTGACCATCAGGCCCCCACACTCAAAGACCGACTGTAGTGTACTTTCCAGACACTCTGGGGATTGAGCTCAGGGCCTTGAGCTGGTAAAGCACTCCCTTTACGAACTGAACCATGCTCCCTGTCCTGCTTTGAAGGGAGACAGAAAAGGAGAGATCGGACGTGTGAGCCAGCGCATCTTCAAGATCCTGGAGAACCGGCAGCCTGAGGGGCCCAGTGTCAGGCCCCTCCTCCCCATCCTGTCCAAGGTCATTGGCCTTGCCCCAGGCATCCTCATGGAAGGTACGAGAGCTTTCCGAAAAGCCTCCTTGACTGCTTTCCAAGTTGGCTGTGGTGGAGGGAGGGTGAGCTGTCTGGAGAACCCTGCATAGCTTGCCAGATTGCAGCCATGGTTTGGGGTTCTGTTGAGCCCCAATTTCTCTTGAACAAACTCAGCACTGCCTGGGAGTCTGGGCATTTAACCCCCACTGTACCCCTCCTCCTCCTACAGACCAGACCAACCTGCTCAACAGAAGGCTGGTAGACTGGCTTCGCTACGCCAGCATCCAGCAAGGGCTTCCATATTCAGGGGGCTTCTTCTCGACACCCAGGGCCCGGCAGGTGAGTCCCCACTGCCTCAGGATCCCGGGAGTTGAAATCACAAAAGCTCCATCACAAGCTGGGTCTGTGGTTCAGTTGGTAGAGCTCTTGCCTAGCATGTATGGGGCCCTTGGCTCAAGCCTCAGAACCACATAGACACTGAGCCTAGTGGTAGATCCTGAAATGGCCGTGCACATCTGTAAAGCTGGGACATACCTGGAATCCCAGAACCGAGGAGGCAGAAGCAGGAGTATCAGGATTTCAGAGCCATCCTTGGTTACAATGTAGCAAGTTTAAGCAAATTTAAGGACCTGAGATCATGTCACACAAACAAAACCAACCCTACTCTCTTCTCAGAGAGCTCACTCTCTGACCCACACATGGGTGCCACACATAGCCAGCCTCACCAGGCGGGTTCCTGTGGCTGCTGCCTGTCCTTCCTCTTGGTTCCAGTGAGGCCTCTCATTGGTGTCTCCTCTTCAGAGTGGATGGGCGCCCTGGGATGGGGGTGGGCACTTTGAGTCCTAAGCTTGTGTGGCTCCTGCTTGGTGCCTGCAGAACACTGCATGACATATGTCTGCATGGAGTCAGTATCGTGTGTCTCTAGGTCTTGGTGTAGACCTGCCTGGCTCGAGGATGTGCATGCATCCTGCAGTACAGCCTTGGGAGGCATGTACTGCAGGCTTCTGCGTAGTTTAGGAGTCCAGCGACCTCATCTCCAGCCCTGTCCTTCCTCCCACAGCCCGGTCCCATCACTGAGGTGGATGGAGCAGTGGCTTCTGACTTTTTCACAGTACTCTCCACGGGCCAGCACTTCACGGAGGACCAGTGGGTGAACACGCAGGCCTTCTCCATGCTGCGGAAATGGCTGCACAGTGGCCCCGAGGGGCCTGGCAGTCCAGATGCAGGTGCACCCGGGGTGGGACAGGGAGCACAAGTACACTGTGGCTTGGGGGCAGGTAGAGAGGGTGGCCAGGAGGCACCTGTGGCCTACACTATAGCCTAGATGCACACCACAGGTGTCCTTAGGCCAGGCAAGGCGTGTGGTGAGTTTGGAGGTCAGCAACAAGGCTCACTGACCCCAGGAAGAACCGAAACCACAGGCCAGTACCATTTGTAGGTGTACCAGTGTCTCTACAAAGTGTTCTAAGTATTCCCAGAGAGCCAGACGGATCGTCCGAGGCAGTATTCCCAGGCCCGTCTGATTTCGCCCCATCTGCAGACTCGGATTATAGACAGACTGAGCTGCTCATGGTGGTGTGTGGTGTGAACCCAGCACTTAGGAGCTGAAGGCAGGAGGATCAGGGCTTCAAGGGCACTCTCAGCTACATAGTTGGAAGACAGCCTGGGTTATAACCAGGCCGTGTTGAGACCCTATCTCAAAAACAACAAAAAACAACACAAAGTACAGTGATACCTACCATGCTAGCTGACACTGTAGACTCTGAGGCAGGAGGATTTAAGTTTTGAGATCAGCCTCAACTACATAGCAAGACCTTGTTTTGTTTTTAAGATTTATTTATTTTATGTATATTAGTACACTGTTGCAGTCTTCAGACACATCAGAAGGGGACATTGGACCCCATTACAGATGGTTGTGAGCCACCATGTGGGTGCTGGGAATTGAACTCAGGACCTCTGGAAGAGCAGTGAGTACTCTAAACCACTGAGCCATCTCTCCAGCCCAAGACCTTGTTTTAATACACTAAAAACAAAACAGAAAAACCAATCAGCAGCCCAGACAGATGTGTGCACCTGGCACTGGGTGACAGCAGCCTCATACTTTTGAACACTGGGAGGCTGCCAGAGCATGTCCCATGCCAATCTGCCATCCACACGGACGTCAAGCTGTCCTTTTCGCTTACAGATGACAAGTCAGAGCTGGAGGGCTCCACCCTGTCTGTACTCTCTGCGGCTTCCACTGCCAGCCGACTGCTGCCCCCTCGGGAGCGGCTGAGGGAGGTGGCCTTCGAGTACTGCCAGCGCCTGTTGGAGCAGAGTAACCGGAGTGAGTCCCCAGGCTACCGACACCTGGCCCCAGCCCACACTGCCCTCCAGGGTGGTCTCTTGTCAAGTGACTGCTCACGGCTGCCACCACTTAGGCGGCCTTGTGGGGCTGTTTGGAGACAAGCCAGCTCTCTCTGTTCCAGGAGCGCTGAGGAAGGGGGACTCGGACCTACAGAAAGCTGTAAGTAGCCGCAGGGTAGCCGGGGCGGTGCTGCCCGGACTGTGACACAGCTCGGTGTCCCTGCAGTGCCTGGTGGAAGCTGTGCAGCTGCTGGACGTGCTGTGCCGGCAGGACCCCTCCTTCCTGTACCGCACCCTCTCCTGCCTGAAGGCCTTGCACAGGAGGCTGGGCGAAGACCCAGGCAGTGAGCGGGCACTGGTGCCTCTTGCCCAGTTCTTCCTGAACCATGGTGAGTCTGGGTGCATGGGAAGCAGACCACACAGAGCAGGTTCTTCTAGACACTTAGAGGCTGTCACATTTATATTTTGTTTATTCGTAGTGCTGGTCATGGAACCTAGGTCCTTCACATACTAGTCAAGTGCTCTACCACTGAGCCACGCCCCAGCCCCTCACTGGGGGATTCTAGGCAGGGGCTCTACCACTGAGCCACACCCCAGCCCCTCACTAGGGGATTCTAGGCAGGGGCTCTACCACTGAGCCACACCCCAGCCCCTCACTGGGGGATTCTAGGCAGAGGCTCTACCACTGAGCCACACCCCAGCTCCTCACTGAGAGATTCTAGGCAGGGGCTCTACCACTGAGCCCCCTCCCTGGGGGATTCTAGGCAGGTGCTCTACCACTGAGCCACACCCCAGCCCCTCACTGGGGGACTCTAGGCAGGGGCTCTACCACTGAGCCACACCCCAGCTCCTCACTGGGGGATTCTAGGCAGGGGCTCTACCACTGAGCCACACCCCAGCCCCTCACTGGGGGATTCTAGGCAGGGGATCTACCACTGAGCCCCCTCCCTGGGGGATTCTAGGCAGGTGCTCTACCACTGAGCCACACCCCCAGCCCCTCACTGTGGGATTCTAGGCAGGGGCTCTACCACTGAGCCACACCCCAGCCCCTCACTAGGGGGTTCTAGGCAGGTGCTCTACCACTGAGCCACACCCCAGCCCCTCACTGGGGGATTCTAGGCAGGGGCTCTACCACTGAGCCCCCTCCCTGGGGGATTCTAGGCAGGTGCTCTACCACTGAGCCACACCCCAAGCCCCTCACTGGGGGATTCTAGGCAGGGGCTCTACCACTGAGCCACACCC